AGTATTCTGCCATAACTTGAGCTTTAGACTTCAGATTGGTTGATTCTAAACGAGTAGAAAGATAATTTAAAGGGCTACAATTCATATGTTAACACTTTTCCATATTTAGACTCTTCATGCTCAAATTGGCGCCGAAATATTCTCACTGCGGCAAGGAAAAAGCTTCGCCACGGCGAAATTGCGTCAAATGTGAAAAATAAAACGATCGTTTGGCTATTAGCACTTGGTCTTTAAGTGAAAGAGGTATAAATTAGCACGAAAATGAAAGAAAAAGGGTCTGGTCGTCATTTGGAATGCAACTCTTGGAATGATAAGATTACTGAAGATTTGGGCTTCAAATAGAGAAGATTCTCCATCTTTTGCTTGTTTTTCATTGATGAATCTTGATTCAGTTTGTTTTTGTTATTTATTTTGTTTTTAAGTATAAACTGAGTTGTTTAGCTAGGGTTTGATGTAACCTTGATACATGATTCAAATTTATATGAATGATTTACTTTGAGTTTTAATTTCATGATTAAGTGTTTATCTCTGCTAATGACTTTTGGATGTTTGATCACCATTCAAATGTGTGTTGTTCACAATGAGACTGAGGAGCGATTTGTGATTGTGCCTTTGGGATAAATACTGTAGATTAAGCAAACACTAGAGAAGGTTTAGCGATTTATGAAATCTAGATAGAATCATAAAGCTAAAAGATTTTAAACTATTAATCTTTATTTTGTGGGTGCGGAAACTTAATAGAGATAAATAGGAAAATATAGGCTAAGAAGGTATATTTTACAACTTAGGGAATTTCATTTTCAATCAAGGAATAGAACTGGGTAATAGATTCTATGATTTGGGTTAGCGTATCTAGGTTAAATCAACACCCTAGCATTTTTTTTAGGATTTTGTTTAATTAGTTAAGTTGTTGGGTTTGCTTTATTTCATTATCATTCATTTATATTTTTTAAATTGTATTTAGTTTGTTAATTCCATCAATCCAATTTACTGTTGTTTCAATTAGGACTTAAACTAGAGAAATCGGTACTTAGTAACACTATCCTCATGGGAACGATACTCTATTTATCACTTTATTACTTTGGACTAGTGCACTTGCTACATTTGCATGTTTGTCAAAAATATGCATCAGTAAACTCTTTTGATTATATTGGATTTAAGTGGATCGTTAAAAAGATTCCAGTGGTTTTTTTATTCTTATTAAAGAGATTTTTCACGTAACAATTTTTTTGTGTTTCTTGTGAATTGGATGTTATTTTCTTAGTTTTCACTAGTTGATGGCAAAAAGTGGTGGAGCGAGGGGGCCCCCGGCAAAAATCCTGGGTCTGCCACTGACCTAGACCCACTCAAATCTTAAAAAATAAGAGCTATTATACATACTGTATATCGAGGTCTAATCAAATTTAGATCCACATCAGCACGCATATCTCGCACGTATAATCTAATAAGGCAAACGACGTATAAATATATATATAGATATATATATATATATGCTCGTCCAATCAGTCTAAGCCACATTAGCACACGTGTCTTACACGTGTAGAATGAGCAGATAAACTATAGACATATATACACTTGTCTATAATGCATATATGCATTTTGATTGGATAGACGCATATGAGTGTATTAAAACAAACTTGTGTATCTAAGTGTATCTTCTAGGGATGTTCAAAAGCGGTTTTCTTGAATCAAACTGATTTTTCGGTTTAGAAAAATTCCTGAAATGAAACCAAACTGGTTTTTCGGTTAACCGCTTTGAAAAAACCAGTTAACTGATTTTGAACCGGTTTTCCCCTTTTTATTGGATAAAACTTATTTTTTTTTAATTTTTTTTGCCTAAATTAAATTGTAAACATCAACAATACATATCTAAATAAAAATTAAATATTCATACATATTAAATATTCATACATATCCATTGACTACAACTAACAATACATTAAAAAATGATACAAATAAAAGTCCGAAATTAAACAAAAATAAAAGTCCGTAATAAAACGTCCATAATAAAACAACAAAATAACTAAATAAGTTCAAATGGAAAACAATAAAAGAAATTGTACAAATTTAGGGATTAAGATATATATATATATATAAACCGGTTAAAAAAAGGGGTTTCAGTTAATCGGTTTTCATTTTTATCCGAACCTAAAATCCGGTTTTTTGAATTCTTTGAACCGTAACTGAACCGTTTTTTCGGTTCGATTACCAATTTGGTTAACGGTTCAACTACTGATTCGGTTTACGGTTCAGTTCAGTTTTTACATTTTTTTAAACATCCTTAATATCTTCAGCTTGTTCTTATCAAAACCAGCACAACGTGAGCACTAAGTCTTGTAAACTTTGAGATGCTTAATCTTCCCAGATCTTGCAGATGATATCAAATATAATAAATATGTTCACTATCTTGAAAGACATGTAGTGCACTACTTATTTGTTAAGGCAGACAAATTCAATGTCCAACTTAAAATATAGTTTTTGCCCATACTTATTAATACCAGCAAAACAGTCAAAAAAATAATTCAGAAGTGGGAATTAAACAAACTGGTAGTTCAGACTTCAGAAACTGTGTGGAAATAACCTAATGTTTATTCCTTAGTTTAACATTTAATAGTGCTTTGTTGTATTCTTTAAACATATTTTTTTATGCAGTATTAAAATTCTGTTGATTCTGAGAATAATAAGATATTTCAGGATTCTGGGTAGATACCGTGAATACTGAACAAGACTGAACCCTAGTTGATTCTACGGACACCAAAAAAATAATGATTCTCCAGATAATGTGCATCAGTATGTCTTTAAACTAAGGTTGAAGCAGGCAGTTACGTTTGAACCACAGAAATGATTTCTTGTACTGCTAATATGCGTTGTCACGTAGGCGCAGGATCATGCTCTGATACCAATTGATAAGGACCTATCCCAGCAACTCAAACAATTGGGCTGGCCATGGGTCTTTCATGGGCTTGGGTAAAACTCTCCTTGAAAAACCGACTTGCCAAGGGAGGGTGCCCAAGCCCTTATAACCCACATGTCCACCCCTTTTCCTTCCAATGCGGGATCCTAACATACGGATACACTCTTTATCTCCAACCAAAGCAAACCATAACAAGAGGAAAAGAGGTACACATTTACTTGCCATATAAAGCCCTTTCATTTCGCTTCCGCTGGCATGACTGACCAATGACTCTCACCAATGACATGGCAAACACAGCATCACAGTAAGAATGTAAATAAAAAAATAAAACTCAAGACTCCATCAATCCAATAGCTAGAGATTATTTAAGGAAACAGAGGAACAAAACCGTACATAACGCAATTCCTACTCCTACACCGTTGGTAGATAATTTCAAAGATGGAGAATAACCTACATAGTTCTTGTTATGTTTTCCCCTTTTATTGGTTCTCTTTTAATGGTCTTTGAGTTCAGCACATTTGCATACCACTTCTTTGCACAATTAGAGTTTTTTTCCCCATCTTTATCTACCGAAATCCTTGTTAACAAATCTTTAGCTCATTACAGAAATACAGAAGTGACACGAACAATATGATATTGTACAATCTGCAACAACAAATTTTGAAATGCTTACAGCATTGTCTATTTTCTTCTACTATTCTCTGCTAATATTGCAATAAATAGGTTCCAGTATACTCCCAATCAACTAATGAGTGGCACTCAATAACTTCAGCGTTGGGGAAAAATCTTCTATAAATTGGGTGCATCATGTCATCCATGTGCCAAGCCACTAAATGCATGCCATGCAGGAATGATATTCTCTTTCCATAATTCTAACAAATAATATGATTGGTGAATTTTAAAATAATTATCTACGTGGCAGAATTTTATTGACTTGACGCATGAGTGACATTGTCCACCCGATATAAGGAAGACTCTCTCCAACACTCTAAAGCTGCGTTTCATTTGAGTCAAACAATCCTAAGCAAGTAAAAATTTATGAAAGAGCAATAAAAATCTAAAGAAGTTTCTATATGAATGTTCTCAACCAAGATTTGTAAACTTTTCCGATCACAGCATAAGGGATATCAATTATGAAATTTATACTTGGTCAGCCTTCCTGCATTGACTAAGAATATGTTTATATAAACTCAGCTTCAACCTCAACAAGCCATCACAGATCAATACTCATCTATAAAACCTCAAACAAATTTACAAACAACACATTCAAAATATAAAAGCACATAAATAGAATGCACTCCAGTCAGGACGATGTCAACAACATTCATGCACTTCAGAAGCAACTAGCATGTTGCATATATTCATTCTTTTATCGGTCTAAAGACCTTAAGTTAGTCTCCAGAAACAATCATAAGAAAGGAAAATACAAAAGCATTAGAGTAAGAGCAGTATCGTCGTGCTTGAACTTTCATTCTTTAATAGTACAAGACATGAATCGTATTAGGTTCAAATACACTTTTTTAATTCAGATTCAAACAGCAACCACAGACAGCACAACAAGAAGTAACCAAACCCCCTAAAGTTGCAGCAAGTCTTAAACCCATTCTAGACCTCCTTGCATTCCCAATCCGGCTTTACACTCCTGCCAAAATGGATAAACTAAACATGAGGGCACTATCCACTTCAAACAGTCCCAACACAACTGTTTCCTCCAAACTGTAATAACTCATAATTGAAAAGTGAAGTTTTTTTGTCAAGCCATTCAGTATCAATCAAAATAACAAAAGTAAGACATCACATATAATAAATGATAGTATATTCGAATACATTTCATAAACCTGAATAATTTTTCCGCTACTTATTTCTAAAAAGTGTAGCATGGGTGCTAGTAATGTACGTTGTATCATATACCCAGTACTGTACCTATAAAATCTTTTAGACTTTAATTAAAAAAAAATAAAGAAAAAATTCTAGAACCATTTAATGACTACCCGGACGACCAAAAAGCTCAAAAGTTAAATAAAAACAATCTAACTAGATTCAGAAGGAGGCTTGAATGTGTATGGCTGTGGAAGCAACATCTGACCTCTCCTTGTCTGGCCACCATCGTCCAATAGCCTCTGTACCCTCTTGTTTTTGCAATACAATCTATCAAAATGCTTCACCTGATCACCCAAATACACAATCAATAAACCAATCAAAACTAAAACAAAATTACTTACTATGATACTGGTTTGATAACATTACAGGGCGAGTACCATCACCATAATGACAACTTTTATCAATCCGTGTATTAGAATTCATATTGTGTTACTACTTTTACATTCAGCATAAAAAAAAAAAAAAAAAAAATATAAAAAAAAAATTGTAAATATCAAAACTCACTAACTTATCAACAATTAAAAAGTTGCAATACTACCAGAACAATATCCGGTAACAATACCAAAAACAACAAGATTATATCATGTGGAACATTAAGTAACAAGCAATATCATATCACTTACTAATATTATTTCTACTCCCAATTAGGAAAAGCATAAATAAATCATAAACAAATAATACGAACAACAAATAATCAGTAACGGTAAGCCTAATAACCAAAAACATATCATGAAACTCAAAAATTTTGTAAAGCTTAAAACTTTCAAGCATACAAACATCAATTTGATAACCCAAGAAGCTCAAATATATAGATTTTGATTACATTTGAACATATAATCAGTACACAGGAAACCCCAGTAGCATTACCGAACCAGTATCGTATAATGAAGTTGTAAAACTCAAAGTTTGATTACCTAAGAAGCTAAAACATTCTCAGGCTTAAAAATTTCGTTACTGGAAAATACACAAATAACAATGCAATGAAAATAAAATCCCTAACCGGTATCCCCACTAACTACAGGACCAGTAACGTAACATGAAGCTTAAAAACTTAAACACTTTGAAATGCAAAAGCATCAAATTGGATTACCCAAGAAGCTCGGCAATTATTGACGAACTCGGCCCTCGATTTCTTGCATTCAACTGGGTACAAGAGGCCCACAGAGGCGATTTCAGTCGGTTTCTTGTTGGCTTCTTTCTCCAAGCACGAATAAAAAGCGTCACGAGCCTTGTAACAATCTTGTCTCGCTTTAAGGAGCACGTCGGTGTGAACTTCATCCGGGTTACTTGATGCGTAAGCTTTTAGTGCCGCCATTGATGGCTCTTCCAGAAAACCAGCTTTCAGAGTTTCAGTTAACGTCCCCTCCATTGTTCGGTTGCACCCAAAAAAGAAATGGGCTGGGCTGAGCTGAGATGGCCCGGGCCGCTCTGGCCAGGTTGGGCAAGGTTTGGGCTGGGCCTCATATTGAATATTTTTATTAAATAAAAGTTCACTATGAATATTTGACTGAGAGTTAATGACATTAAGTTCTTCGAGGTTTTAGAAATAAGTTTTTACTTCTGTCAAGTTTTAAGTATTAAAATTAAGGGTAATGTTATGGGTATTAACAGATTTTACTAATTAGTGTATTAACTTAAAGTATAATACGGGTATCATATACATAGTACAAGTACTATGTGTGATTTTAACAAAGGTTAGTACACTGATTAGTAAAATCCGTTAGTACGCAAAGTATTATTTTAAAATTAAACGATAAGAGGGTAATTTAATAATATTTACTAATTTATAATAATGTAAATTTTAATAAATCATTACTGGCAGAAGAATTTTTATTATTTCATAAACCTTAAAAGGATTCTTTTTTTAAGGATTCTCGTTACCTCTTGGTTTATATCTTTAACTCTCGCTCAAAATAATTCCCATTAATGCCCGTGACATGATTGAAGGATGATTTCATCTGTATCGATCGATACAAAACATATTAATATACATCGTTTATAATTATATATAATTAGACAGATGTAAACCATGGTTATCAAATCGTGTATCGAAAACCTAATTTTTTGAATCGTGTATCGAGTATCATATCGTATCGTAAGATACGATCTTTTTCAAAAAAATTAATAAAATAATCAAAATTTTCTAAAAATTAATATAATCCCCAAAATTAATTAAAGAATTTTATGGTATTATTGACTTTAAATTATGGTATTATATAATCAAAATTAATCACAAAATTCCAAGATCAATGTCAATATCTATATCTCCACTTATATTATTATTATCATGTAAAATGGACAATACATATTCCTCTTCACTTTCTCCATACAAAATAAGTAAATTTGGACAGGTTTTAGTGAATCAAGTTGGATGACCTGGTTTCGACCCGATTTTTTTTTTTTTTGGACATTTGGCCCAAATTAATAAAGTCGTATCGATTTATATCGACATTTTTAAAGATACGAACGGATACGTATCATATCGTAAGATACATATCAACGTATCGAATGGTTTAGGATACACTCTCTGATACGTATCGTTGGCGACCTGTATCGAATCGTATTGTATGATACGTATCGGGTATCGTAGGATACTAACAACCATGATGTAAACACGTTCGGTTTATAAAATATTTGCTCACTTTGGTATTATTTTGTGAAAATAAAATATTTTAAGCATGTAATTTAAAAAAAATATATATATATTTTCACAAAATGTAATAATAGAAAAAGAAAATGCTTGTACTAAGTAATAGTAAGTCCTTAATTGAGAAAGCTGGATGTGGGGTACTTAGTGACAGAAGACAGTACTGGATATTTAGATTGAACTCTAATAAATTTACACAATCTTTTATGTTAACCTTATCCAGAATCTGGGATCAGATTCTGGACTCTAGAGCGTACTTATCTTCCAAAAACATAAATATTAAAAATAAAATAAAATAAATTATTTTTGTCAACCCTACCGTAAAAATATACGGTAAGAGGACAATTTAATAACTCGTAGTAATGTAAATATTAACGGATCAGTAACGGTTTATTAATGATAAAGAATTTTCTGTTAGTTTGGAAATCTCGAAAGGATTCTTGTTATCTCAGGGTCTATGTCTTTTAACTCCCAATCAAAATAGTTCCTATTAATGATCGTGATAACAAAAATATAAATTTTATCTTCCAAAAATATAAATTTAAAAAAAAAAAAATTGCATGGAATCCAACCTCAAATGGTGGCTAAAATTCACAATTGATTTTGTTTTAATTTAATATAAGTGTAATTCTTTTAAAATATGAATACATAGTTAAAGCAAACCAAAAGCTTATAATTTTATTTTATTTGTTTAAGTTTTTTAAAATTAATTTTTCGCATCAAAACTATGTATTAAAGAAAACCCACTTAAATATGAGTCATAGTTTACAACGATTCGAAGACAAGATTCTCTGGATATAACTAATCCAATAATTAAAAGGTTTGTCATCCGATCACAATGGGAGAAGTTGCTTTTCGTATGTCATGGAACTAAAACAGAGGAATTTTTTTTTTTTTTTTTTTTTTTATATGGACCATCAACAAATAAAATTCTAATTTTGTATTAGAACAAATTTTTTTGAGTAAAATGGTGTATGGTTTTAAATTTTTAGTTAATGCTTTAAAAATGAGTTTTCAAATTAGTTTTTTAGATGCAATAGCTTAAATCATAATTTGGTGGGTTGAAGTTATTATTATTCATTAAACCCTCAACTAAATAGGACAAAATGGAATGATTAGAGATAATTAAGGATTAATGAGGGAATTTGAAATTCATTCTAATTAATGATAAAATTCATTCATAGTGCACTCCTTTTGTTGAGATGTTAGTGCTTTGAATGATAGAGATTCATTCATATTATGAATTGCCCACTTGCATTCTTCTTGAAGGTGCGCTTGTTCTTTGAAGTTATAAAGAGAATAGCCCTAGAATGTACCAAAAAAAAAAAATCATTTCATATCAAGTTAGGATAATAATTTAATTATTTAGTATATCGGCAGTTTCTTAACATGATATTAGAGCTAAAGTTTAAAATTGAATATTACTGTATATTCCTTGTAATGATGTTTGTCTTGATTCGGATTTTCGCTTGCAAATTCGACAATTCTGGTCTTTGAAATCCTTAATATCTGTAGTGGTTATCTACTTCATAGTCTCTTGATCTCTGGTTATTTATCTATACTAATTCTATCTTTAAATCGTCGCCAATTTGTGTGGTGGTTAAATTCATTTTTGTTTTTAGTCTTTGAAACTTTGTTATGATGAAGTGGAAAAAAACTATGTATAACATATGCAACTGAATCACAATAAGGTGAATTTACGGACGTTCTCATTGGTTGGTTGATTATGCATTCGTTGTACAAAACTTCCTTTTGATTGGATAAAACGAAAGCAAAGAAAGAAGAAAAAATATTACACCACCAAATTGATAGGGAGAGACATAGAAATTAAAGTCATAAAAGTGGTCCAAAAATTCTCGCAACAGGTAGGGTATATGATTTTAAATGTCTATGAAGTAAAAATTTGTTTGCCAATCAAATTTTTATAATGAGATTGGTGTATTTGATTATGACACCACAAAAAACACAATCCAGATAATAAAGTAAAACTTATATTATATATACATATTGTTTATAGTTAATGTGGTATAAAAATATATGTTGAAATAACATCATCAACCTAGCTTATAGTTAAGAGTTAATGTGTTATAGGAAATAACTCATAGTTAATAACATATAGAAATAACTCAAAGACCTTCTAATTGAGTCATGTATATATATATATTATTATATTATATATATATATATAGGTATAGTTATCTATGTGTGTGTGTTTTTTTAAATGTATAAAATTATTTAATTGAGGTTTCAGTGTATTTAGGTTGTTAGATAGTCAATTTTAATTTTTTTTTTTCCTTATAAATGAATAATAAAAGAGGATATAAAAAGATTATCGATGAGATAGATGATATAGAGTAATGTACACCCTAACTTTTTCTCATAAACTTTCTCTCAACCCTGATATGACAGCTCTAATTGTTAGTCTAATTTATCAGATAGGACCTTGTAGTTTAATCAATTATAAACTGCATGTCAATGTTATAAGAGAAATTTTTAAGAAAATGTTGTAATGTAGCATTTTCTGATTACACTGAGACTAGACGGATGGGGTTGAGATGAACTCCACTCCCCTTCAATCATGACATAATGAGACGAGACGGATGGGGTTGAGCATGAACTCCACTTCCCCTTCAATCAAATAAAAGAATATGGGGGATTGAGAATTTCAATTAAATCCATTTCATTTATTTTAAATCACTTATCTATATACCTAGGCATATATAAAAATGAACAGGAACATGGTTTAAAATATTAATTATTTTTAATTATAGATTATTAATTATAGGTTATATTAATTAGAAAAGTTTATTATTTTATATATACCACTCTATAAATAAACTTATACTTGACATATTAATTTCCTCAAGACCAATACTACCTTCTTGCACTATTACTTTTTTTTTTATTGGAAAACTAAGACTATAATACTCAGGATCATATTTAATCACCTTTAGATCCTCATTTGTAAAATATTTACCTGAATGAATTAACAATATTCAACATGTCATACCTAATATAATTATATCAAGACGATCAGTCCTGATATAATTAATATATTCTAGAATACTCTCTGTATAATCTCTAATTCATAATTCATAAAACTAATATGATAACTCTGTATGCTTGATATATTATCTGTTTTGATTTGCTTTTTTCATCTTTAATTTTAAGTCTCCACGCATAATATAAAACACCAACTTATGAGTAATTTATAATAAAATATCTTATTCATCTTCGCTACAAGTCAAGATCTTTGTTATCTTTTTCAATTTTCTAATAGAAAAGAATTGTGTATACTCAACATATCAAGCAATGAAATTCAAACATGCAAATCCTAATCTATCTTGCCTAAAATAAACTAATAATTTTTCTATGAAAATAATTGGTGATGCGATGCCTCAATTTGAAGCTATCCAAACACATGTATCTCGAGTAGACTTGGAGCAAAAATATTATTAGCCATGGTCTGCATGACAAATTATGGGTTAAAATATAAGCCTTATTTAGATAGTGAAACCTCTATGTAAAGGATGCATATATAGTCATCTGATATATGAGCTTTATATGTTAGCGTATGTGATATACATGCACGTCTTCATTTATTTATTTTTTAGTAACCAGGACATCCGGATTAGTTCATGCGCACTTTAACTAATTTTCAAGATCCATTAAACACTTTATAA